AGTGAATTTCAATTATGTTTTCATTTTTTTTTTTAGAAAATAAGAAAAATGAGACACTATCAAGGTCGGACTTATAGTGCGATAACAGAATTTAATATCTTGATATAGACTGCTGCGTAGGTTTTGCGGTTGTAAGTGCGGCTGCTGGTCATGTTTTACAAAAACAAAAATAAGTTATTGCTTTTCTATCAAGAAATTTTAAGTAGCAGTCCGGAGTCAGGTAGTTGTTGGTATTGACTTGGCCGTGCCTTGTCAAAGTACGTAAAAGCGATGGTCTTGCGCCTGATCACTCTCACGTCGTGTCGAATCGCCATCCCATTGGACTATTCGTGTAAGAGAATAAATGGAGTGGACTGCACATATGCATGCGTACACGGTCGTGCGTTATAATCCTGTTCTGCTCAGATAGCACGTCTCTATAGAGACTCGCCCGCCGTTCGGTCTGGAGGACATTATTATTATTGTTATTACATAAAGCTGAAGTTGCAATAGGCCGGCCATATAGCTCGAAGAACCGACAACCGATGAAGGAAGAAAAGTTCTCGAGTGGCAGCCTCGTAGGTGAAGTGAAGGGCGTCCCCCCATTAGATGGAGTGACGACCTGGTAAGACATGCAGGAATTCGATGGATACAGGTGGCTCAAGACCGTGCTTTGTGGCATTCCTTGGGAGAGGCCTATGTTCAGCAGTGGACTTGTGAAGGGCTGTAATGATGATAACGATGATGATGATGATGAAGATAATGATAAATCTGGGAAAATAGCACACGGAAAACACGCAGATTTTTATATATGGTAGTGGCAAGTTACAGCTTATAGCTATACCATAGTTGTATTAAGAATGGCTCAACTCCACCAGGATAGGACCACGCTCTCACATAATATCAGCGTCAAATAGCAGCTTAACGCTGCTGTGTTTCGTATGGTGAGTGTAGAGAACCGGAGACCCGTTTTACTAGACACGAGGCATTACGTCTCAGTCTTCAGAATGACAACGCATCTGCATTTTAATTCTTAATGGGGAATCGATGTAAGTGCTTACGGACCATAGAAAATCTACGCTATAGACGAAACATATACCCTATTTACTAGAAACATTCCAACTCATTCCTCAGGGGTGACAACTCATCAGTATTTTGGATCTTAATCGAAGATAGTTGTAGGTCACACATCACATCATCCACTTACTATCAGGTGGACTGTTGTGTTCGTTTGTCACCTTCATTTTAATATAAAAAAATTTGCTAGAGTGACTAAAACCATTGCTAAGATCTATGTCGCATGATCCATTATGTGTTTTTCAATCATCAATTAATTCTGTAGTTCTCCATTAACATGCCACGTAAAGATTGCTTTTACTTTTTATAGCGATACGGACAGCCAAAAATAACATCTGATTTCCTTTTTTAGGGTTCTGTACCTCAAAAGGAAAAAACGGAACCCTTATAGGATCACTTTGTTGCCCGTCTGTCTGTCTGTCAAGACCCTTTTTCTCAGGAACGCGTGGAGGTATCAAGCTGAAATTAATATCAAATACTCAAGTCTACTGTCCCTTGTCCTGTGTAAAAATCAAACTTCTAAGCCAACGCAATCAAAAGATACAGCCGTTTATGCCGCAAATTTTAGACATTCGCAAGGGAATCAAAACCTACAGGGTACTTCCCGTGAACTCAGAATCTTGAAATTTGGTACATATACGAAGCAACTTTTTAAGTTAGATAAAGGAAAAATTGCGAAAAGCATAAATGTTTAATTACATCATATAATAAAAATATTTTAATAATTTTAAACTTATATACCTACGGATTTGTTCGGAACCCTCGGTGCGCGAGTCCGACTCGCACTTGGCCAGTTTTTGATTTTCATAGTAAGTTTCCCCTTACCTCTCGTTTGTACTCGATCAAAAATATCTTTGCAGTTCTATTATGCAAATGCAATTATGCCAAAACCGTTTTTAGGGTTCCGCACCCAAAGGGTAACCAATGGACCCTATTACTAAGCCTCCGCCGTCCGGCCGTCCGTCTGTTAGCGGGCTGTACTGATGATCCGTAATAGGTAGAGAGTTGAAATTTTCACACAATGTGTATTTCTGTTGCCGCTATAACAACAAATAATAAAAATTAAAATATAAAAAGTGGCCCCCCTACTAGAAACGTATTAAGATGTATTAAGATGGTACGGAACCCTTCATGCACGACTCCGACTCGCACTTGGCCCCGGTTATTGTACAAAATATAAGGAAATATATGAGCACATTTATGTATTTCATGAGAAGAGGTTTAAGTTTATATTTAAAATTAAAACAGGTAAAAGCCATGGTGCTATACTTACTTTTTTAATTTTCTACGTTGTAATTATTGTACATATCTTTCTGCCTATATATTCAGTAGAATATTGTTTATGTATTATTTTAATATACATATACCTACTATATTAAGCTGTACGTTTCCCTTAAATAAATAAAGAAAAAACAAAAGGTAAGTGGCAACTGTAGCCCATGGACACCTTTTTTTAAATGGTGAAATGTCTATGCATATCCGCATTGCGATAAATGTCGTACTCACACCGACTAAAACCCTTTACTGATCTATCCCAGCGGCCCCGTCAGAGTCGCAGGAGTTATTATGCCGAGTGGCACATCGCCATACCCTCCTCTTCCCCCGCGACCACCTCGGCATGCAATTCCCCTCGCCGCAGCACACCGACGGACATCCCAAGTGGGCTCGCCAAGCCCACTCGGGGTGGCCACCTCGGGTTGGGCCTACACCACGGGCCAGCCAAGCGGTTCCTCTTTGTTCACCGCGGGTGACCAAGCCACGGCTACTAATCCCTTCCGCCCCGAGAAGGCGGGAACCCGTTCGAGGGAGGGGGGGGAGGCTATGGACACCTACAGTCAAATTCAAACAAACTGTTATCACTTCTGAGGACTATGACCTAACTTTCTTTAGCTAACTAAAAAGAAATCCTTATCCTCGCCAATTATATTTCCACGAAAAAATATTAAGTAGTAAGTAACTTTGAATAATGTTTGCAGACGTAAACATTATTCAAAAAGTTGTTATTTATTTAATTCTTTTTACAACTAAAAAAAGTTTAAAAGGATATTTATTTCTTTCGGAGCACGGAGATACAACGGATGGAGAATTTTCTGTCCCTGAAAAGTTTTGAATAATGTATGTTTATTGAACGCAAAAGAGCCCCAAAATAGGATTATAATTTCGATGACTCGTTTCTAAACGACTAACTTTATGAGTAGAGTAGAGAGCACATTATTAGCTTTGGCTTTCAATTAGAATAAAGTTTCTGATATTCATAAAGTTTGAACTTGTAATAATAAACGGATAGTAGGTAACATTTTAGTTTTCAACCAATTGACATCGAAGTAATATGTATTAGGTACAATACGTAATACTACTTCAATGGCAACTTGCCATACTTATTAGCAAAATGTTCAATGAGCGCTGAACATATTACGGAACCTACCTATTACACTTTTTACGGGTCTAATATAATATTTTATAATACATTCTATTAAATTATATTATATATTACACTGATTATAATATATTGCAATAATATTTAAAAAATGTGTAAAATTCAGAGTAGACTTACAGCCTTATTACTTCCTGTTAATACGCACAAGGTTGTTTATATCCAATTTTGTTATGATTTTATAAAAGCGCCATCTAATAATATGCCTTAGAACCATTACTACTCTTTATAAGATTAAACAGTCGTCTTTTTAATCCGTTCATGTTTAAAAGCAACACTAGATGGCATTATAATAAAAATGTTATATTAATGATTTTAAAAATATAATTTCCAAAATAGGTTTTCGATATTTGGAAATTAAATCATACAAAATTGTTTAAATGTAATATATTAGCATGAACTGGAAGAGAAACACTTAATTAACAACCTATTACAAAAGCTGACTTAGAGGACAACAAGTAAAAAGCAGTGATAAAATGTATTTATTATAAACTGTAAAAAATATACAAAAGCAAAAATCAAAAACTTACAAAAACCGTTTAAATTCACAACAAATCTTAGAATATACAAAAATACTTTTGTGGTCTTTCTTTTTTATTTATTTGATTATTGATTTGAATTTATATATAGGATGCAATAATCATACAAAAATGTTACATCCGTCGTAATATGAGCAATGTACAAGCTTAGAAAATACGATAAAATATAAAATTTAAAACCTTGAAATATTAAACACATTATTTACGAAAAAAGATCATTTAAAATTATTTTTTATATTTTTACAAAAAAGTAGAGGTCTTCTTATTTAAAACGGCACGCGCTATTCCGTGTATTTTTGGTAGATTTTGCTACATTTAGGGTATTAAGCATCGCAAAATATATATCTACGCGCAAAATATAATTCTATCGTGTTTTAGTGTAGATTTTAGCATTTAACAATATACAAGTGAGACATGTGTAGTTTTAAATTAGAAAATATCTATTAGACGGCAATCAAGAATCACGAGTAAAGACACAATAAATAATAGTACAAGGAGTAAAGAGAACAATATTTCTTATCATGGCACAAACCAATAACTCCTAATTAAGCTGATATACGTAAATTAGAAATAGTAATAAATATTTTAAACAAACGTACCACTTCAAGACACATGGCACAAGTATCCTCTCATTTCTGAGAGATAATTAAACAAGTAGATAATGATTTCTTATATAATACATTTAATCAAATGCCAATAATATAATTAGTTTCACGGATTTCATCCTTCGATATTATAATTCTATAAAAGTAGTTTTGTTTAATGCTTATGCTTTAATTTTAAACATTGTAAAATAGATATAAAATTTTAATTAAATGTACATTAAATTTTACAATTTACTTCAATACATTTACAATTTTTCCATGCAATCATATATAACACCATATTGTACATTTCTTCGCAAGGTCTAACCGAGGCGAGGGTCAGTTTCTCTTCCAATTGAACAACCATGAGCAGTATTGTCCCTCGTCTTAATTTTCATAGTACATAAAGTCCTGAAAATTAAAATCCTATACTGTTTTTTTGAGCAATGAGGGCTAATAATCTTCCACTCACCAGATGTCGCTAGTTGTGACTGAGGTAAAATTTTTTGTTACACAATGTCAGTTAATTGAGAAATTAGTTTTAAATAATAGTTTATCATTATCTAGAGTATTATATTAATACACAACACAATGCGTCAGTGGTTTGATTTTTGATTGTTTGCACATTATAACTCTTTTTTTTTAAAAGTCGTCTTTTAGTTATATTTATAGTTTGATTTATTCATTTCTAATGTAATTAATATAAAAGATAACTAATAATACATAAAGAAACCTTAAAGATTACATTTTTCTAAGAAATTATCATCCCCGCTATGAAATCTGTCAAATATTTTACCTTACTCTAAAGTGGCGCCGCCCTGGTGGCAGAAAAAGTCGTGGATTGTTGTATATGTTATACAACATGTCCAAAAGTTCAAAATTAAGATCACTACCCAGGGAAAAAATGCGACTTTCTTTTTAGTTATAATAACTTATTTAAATATTTAAAATTTGACACGCTTTACAATATTTTTATTTACTAAGACTACAAATCTCTGTATTTTTTTTGTAATAGCAACGTAAATAGCATAGCTATTAATCCCACTTACAAATAAAACGAAATAACCTGAAATTATTATTAATTTTTTTTTTCTTGCAATTTTAGAAAATTTCAACTTTTAATCAACTTCCACTCGTCACGGTATAAACAATGTGCAAGTCATTATAAAAGTTAGCACAACTAATCAAGATTCTAAAATAGTGTAATACTCTAGTCACTAGAGTCTAGTGACCAAGCACACAGAAACATTCATGTTTTCTGAACAAGAACCAAGCATAAATATTAATTATTATCCTTGAAAACGTTATTGTGTGCCCCAAAATAGGTTTTGCCTTACAGATTCACGTGTCTACATTGTCTTGGTGACGATTGTCTAAGCGTCGTTAATGGATTTTTGAAGTACGAGTGAGATAGATAGTTACACCATTGGTAAACAAGAGTGAGACAGATAGTTGTTTAAATGAAACTTTATAATTTTACAGTTTTTTTTTTATAGGATAGGGTGACAAACGAGCACACAGTCCACCTGATGGTAAGTGGTTGCTGTGGCCCATAGACATCTACATCTATCCTCAATAAAGAATCAAAATGCAGATGCGTTGTCACTCGTGAGGACTAAGATGGAATGCCTCTTCTCCAGTAAAAAGGGTCTCCGATTCTCTACACTCACCATACGAAACACAGCAGTGTTAAGCTGCTATTTTACGCTGGTATTCTGTGAGAGCGTAGTCCTACCCCGGTCGAGCTGACCCATTCGTGCTACAACTATACTACTAATATAGCCGCAGCATGGCTCTACCACGTACATACATTTTTCTCATCATGTCATTTTTTATTTTATTGTCATAACTATGAAAAGTAGAACTTCCATTTGGCACGATCTGACACACCTCTCGTCTCCTTTACATCTATATATTTACGCATACATGCTCGTTGATAAGGGTACTCTTAATCTGGCCTATTTTCAATATATCAGTACACAGATTCAGCACCCAGCATGCTCTTTATATCCGCATTTCTGCAAACATACATACATACGCTCGAAAAACATTACCCTCCTTCTGGGGCAGTCGGGTAAAGAAGATAAAAATTCTACAAATCTAAATGGATACATACAATTAAGAAACAGGTGCCTATAACGGCAGCCTTGAAACGCACGTCCAGGTCCGCGGGGAACTCGATCACGTAGTTGTCAGCATTCGTCAGCGCCTCCCGCGCCATTCCACTCCACTTCTTCCTGATCACGCCAATGCGTTGCTTGCTCTTTGTGAACAACTTAAAAACAAAACAAATCTTATTTAAATATATGTTATCTGTTACGGCCTACGGCTGCTCCTACAAAGGATCAAATCCTCTGGGGCCCATTCAGCATAGGTCGGGCCTCAATATGGCCGCGTGGAGTTTCCTAATTACAATAAACAATAAGGGGGAGCGTTCTATCCTACTGCCATTCAACAGGGAGAATATTAAAATCGAGCTTACTTACCTATATCCAAGGCGACTGGTCCCTCAGGGTTCGGTCAGGTCGCATGTGGTTGTATGGTGCATGGGAAGTAAGGGTCAGTGAGGTGTATCTGTGTGTGACTGAGTGTGGGAGACCTTAGACCTTAGACGGCAACGGTCTCACCGTTGCCGTCGGCAGCAGCTCGGACTTCAGCACCGCTCCAAATTGTGGTAATCTTCCGCGGAGTCGTCCACAGTCACTTTCTTCGTTCGTCACGAGGACAGTCCTTAACTTTATCGTACAATTATCTAATTTCAAGAAGCCGCTAACTCTAATTCGTTATAAAGCGTAACACCCAACACAAATACAGAATGTTGGTCTATACGAAATCCCGTTACTATAAGCAAAAACGTAACACACCGCACGAACACGAATGTCCGGATCAAAGTTCACTACCGTTTCGCGTGGCAACAATTATTTCTAGAATATCAAATGCCGCAGTAGTAGCTAATAATGTCGAATACCCTTATACAGATTCTGAGTTAGACACAAGAAGTCCCGGGAAAAGCTCTCAAACAATGAATGCGCGATACGAATGCTAGACAGTATATTTACTAGACGCGCCTAAACTACTCCGCGTTCCCGCACAAAAAAATGACAGCGTGCTGACCCAAGCACAGCTGGCAACCGACTTCTGCGCTCGCGCGCCCTCGCCACACCGCTCGACCGAACGTCAAAACCGGTATGGCGCCGAGCCGAGCGCCCTCTGGCGTCAAATTCCGAAACAGCATTCGGGCGTGAACATTATCCATGTTGGATTAAGAAAGGAATGCTTCGGTTGTTTGACCATGTAGAAAGAGTTACCATTATCGTTACCGTTACAGCCCATTAAAGTCCACTGCTGAACAACGGCCTACCCCATAGATTGCCTCATAGGGATAATATTTGCCATAGCTAAAACACTCGAAAGACATTACCGTCCTTCTAAGACAGTCGGGTAAAGAAGATAAAAATTCTACAAATCTAAATGGATACATACAATTAAGAAGCAGCAGAAGAAGCCTATAACGGCAACCTTAAAACGCACGTCGAGGTCCGCGGGGAACCCGATCACGTAGTTGACAGCATTCTTCAGCGCCTCTCGCATCATTCCACTCCACTTCTTCCTGATCACGCCAATGCATTACTTGGTAGCGTAGTAGCCCAGGTTCGGCAAGCGGGTTTGCAACCGAAGTTTGTTTGTTTTTAATAGTTATTAGGAAGACGCTGCTGTCCATCGCCTGATTTGTTTCCCTCTGTCGCCTCTTACGTCACCCACGGGATGATATGGGGTAGTGGATATTCTTACACCGCCACTACACGGTAACGAGGAAAGAGTGACAAAGCAAATTTATGTTGCAGAAGTGAACGGCAGAGTCGACAAGAGACGCCCTTGTCTAAGAGTACGATGAGTATTCTTAACCAACGAGCATGTATGCGCAGGTATATGCATGTAAAGGAGGTGAGAGAAGTATCAGGATCGTGCCAAATGAAATTCCGTGGTTTCTGCTTACCCCTCTGGGTGACAGGCTTGAATGTTTATTGATAATTTATTATAATTGTATCGTACATAGACACTACAACCATAATGTGGCTGCAGCGTGGCTCTACAACGTCGTCGTCATCAATTTTTTTATTATATGAGAGAGGGCAAACGAGCATAGGGCTCAGCTCACCTGATGGTAAGTAACTACCGCCCCCCATGAACAACTGCAACACCAGGGGAATTGCAGATGCGTTACCGGCCGTTTAAAAAAGAGTAGGCTCTTTTCTTGAAGGTCCCTAAATCGTATCGGTCCGGAAAAATTGCTGGTGGTATTCGATTCCACATGGAAGCTGTGCGAGGAAGTAAACTTCTACTAAATCGCACAGTAGTGGACCGCCAACCATCCAGACGTTACGGATGGTAATTCGAGTTCTGTTGCGATGTGCGATGTTGAAAATGAGCGGCTGGAATTAGTCCGAACAATTCCTTTGAGCACTCCCGTGGTAGATACGATTGAATACGCAAAAAGGAGGTGCAACCTCTGTTCGCAGCACTAGTAAGTCAAGCCGATCAGAAGGAGCTCGGTTACCAACGATTCAAACCGCTTTGCGCTGGAAGCGATCAAATGCAAGGAGCTGGCACTGGCCCAGAGATGATAACAGTATTCCATGTGCGGCCGAACTGAAACCGAATGAAATACTGTCCCGCTCTGATGAGCACGCCAAGCTTTTTAGAGGACAATTTGGCCTTCTCTTCCAAGTTACCAAGAAACTGCACGACAATCGATATGTCGACGCCGAGGATTCTGATACTGGCTGAGGCAACAAGGGGAGTACCCTGAAACTAAGGAGACACGATAAAGGGGTTCTTTTTAGCGGCAAACGCGCAAACTTGTGTCTTCTGGGGATTGAACTGGACTAGATCCCCCAATCCGAGACTTTGTTCGAAAAATTCTCGACTTCAGACACAAGTTTTTCCGGTACTCAGCGACGTTTTCCCGAGAAACGGCCGGTGTATAAAGCATCACCAGTGCTGTCGTCAGCATAGCAATGAATGTTACCAGGTTGCAACATATCAGTGATATGCAGAAGAAACAGCGTTGGTGATAGCACGCTGCCTTGTGGAACACCAGCGCTAATAGGCTTGTAATCGAAGCATGCACCGTCTACTACGACCTTGATGTTCCGATCAGCCAGAAAACCGAAAAACTGGTGATCCAATTGCACAATCCCAGCCCATAGGACGGAAGTTTCGAAAGAAACGCTTTGCGCCAAACGCGATCGAAGACCTTCGCTTGTCCAAACTAACCACCAAAGACTTGGGCACGATCGCCTGTGCCCATCTGTGTGTTAGGTAAATAAGAAGATTACCAGCTGAGCGATCCCAACGGAAACTGTACTGACGGTCACTAATCAGCTGTTGTTCCTCAAGGTACCGCATGAGCTGGCAGTAATAATGGACTCCATTATTTTGGAGAACAAAGAGGTGATGGCGATGGGCCATTAGTTGGACGGATCAGAGCGGTTACCTTATTTAGAGATCGGTTGCACGAAAGCTATCTTCCATAAAATCAGGACAACGCCTAGGGAGTAGGAGTACCGGAAAAGACGCTTTAAAACCGTTGCCAACTCTGGAGCGCACGTCCTCAGCACAACTGGCGGGATTCCATCAGGCTCACTCAATTTGTGGATGTCCAGGGAGAGGAGTGCTTTGCGTGTTGAGCACTGTGTGCTGCATCAGGCATAGAGCACTCACACTGCGGCATAGTCGACGGTGTGTTCCCCCGTCATAGAGAGTCGATTAGAACGCAAAAAGGGAGCCTAATATGTCAGCTTTTTCTTTTGCGGCGTGGGCCAGTGAATCGTCCTCCCTGTGCAGAGATGGTAGTGATGGCTTACAGAAATTTCCTTGGACAGCCTTAACGAAAGACCAGAATGTACGGGTTCCCGAAGGAAGGCGAACTAATTTCTCGCCAATTCTACCTATGTGCTTATACTTTGCCCTGGTACGAGGACCTGAAGGCGAATTTATACTTCTTTTTAAGCATGCTGGTGTTTACATCTCGAGCCGCCGAAGATTCAGCCCAGGCCCGATAACACTCCCGCTTACTGCGTAATGCAGTCTTACAGAAGCGACCAAACCAAGGCTGCGATCTGCGTCCGATGGCTTCCACAGATGATGGAATAAATATTCCCATTCCCTGCAGCACCACATCAGTGACAGAGTCAGTAACAGCGCTGGGATCATTTGGCGAGAAGCAAACCCACCCCCATCGGTAGGATGCAAAGAAAGACTGCATTCCGTCCTAATCCTGCAGAACGCAACCGTAAAGGTAGCATGAGTGGCACCACATTCCGGATCAGACAATGGTCTGAAGAGCCGAGAGGGGCGTCGACGGAAACCTGATATCCGTCCAGATGAGAGGTCAGCAGAAGGTCCTACAGAGAAGGTGTATGATTCTCCACATAAGGAATCCGCGTAGACGAAATAACCAGTAATTGTGTCAGACCGTATGCCAAAGTCATAAACAGATCTCCCCGTAAGATCGGTTAAAAGTAAACTGAGCTATTCGGCGTGGTGTTCGCTAATATTACGATCTCTACGGATGGGATCTGTTGTAGCAAGAAATCTGTAGCCATTTGGACGTGGTCGATGAGTCGGTCTGTGTCAGCATTACCGCTATGAGAGCTATAGAGGCACCTGTAGACGCGGATATGTTCGTCGCTGTCTACGAGCAGCCAAAGGATGGACAGATTTGAACCTTCAAGACTGCCGAAGCATCGATAACAGATATCCTCTGTGACTTATGCAAACTCCAGCCTGGAGCACAAAGAAGTATTCTTATTTGTACCCCGGGTAGGAGAGATACGAAGTATCAGTCGGAGAAGACACCTGCGTCTCGGTCAAAAAGAGCAAGGCCGGCTTCGCCGTCTCGAGATAATAGTGGACGGCGTTAAGGTTCGAGTGAAGTCCCCCCTTAATAATCAAAATGCAGATGCGTTGTCACTCCTGAGAAATAAATCAACCTGAGCCTCATTACCATGATACAGGGTATCCGGTTTTTATACTCGCCATAACGATTACAGCTTATCAACAGTCTGATGCTAAGAGTAAGCCTCCCTCTAAGATTGCCTGATATGGGGCTATATTTGCCATAGTTGACTCACTTGGCAAGCGGGTTGGCAACCGCTGTTTTTTATTTTTACTTTTTTTTATAGATATTAAAGTGAAAGAATATAAAAGAAATGCAAAAGGATGATAGTAGGCAAGATGGTAGTACGTTATCAATCGGCAATTATATTTGTTTTACAGAAGAGGGCCATAAGAGCAATTTATGATAAGCTTAAAGAGTCGCTCGTACAAAAATTTAAGGAAATGAATGTATTAACTTTGGCCTCTCAATACATTAATGAAAATGTAATGTATGTACATAAAAGTAAAAGTAGTTTTACAAAAATAAGTGATATTCATTCTGTAAATACTAGGAACAGACACAAGCTAGTAGTACCAGTTACTCGACTCCATCGAGTCAGTAATTCATTCTTGGGGCGATGTATACGCTTTTACAATAAAATTCCACAAAATATACAAAATTTGACCTACTCAAAGTTCAAAAACTTTATTAAACTAAGTTTGTATAAAAAGGGTTAATTTAAAAGAGTTTATGGATGATAAAACCCCTGGGAATGAGGTGATCGGTACCAAGCTATTTCTAATTTGTTTTGTGTTGTTAAGGGTGTAACATACATGATTGTAAGCTGTTATTTAAAAAAAAAGTCCCGCTGGTTTTCTTGCTGGTTCTTTCCAGGACAGAGGTTTTTTTCGAACCAGTGGTAACTAAACAAAATAATGGTTTTAAATAAGTACTATTTATAATCTATATTGATTAAAAAAGTTTCTGTTTCTGTTTCTCGCACAGGAATAAGGCAAACAGTTAACTGCACTACACTTCACTTGTATTTACAGATATCCTTCGTCCAACCGTCGTTATAGGTAGGAAATATTATGCGAGCGTCCGTATACAAAATATTGCAAAAGTCTATGTTTTTACTGTACACTTGTTAATAGGAAGACGCTGCTATCCATCTCCTAGTTTGTATCCCTCTGTCGCCTATCCCGACACCCACTGGACCATATAGGGTAGTGGATATTCTTACATTGTCACTACACAGTGTACATACTTACTATATGAAACACAAAAGCATTGCTTTTTACAACGGTGTTCTGTGCGAATGTGATCGAGCCGATCCATATCCATAATACATCTTCAGCATTCCACATGCAAATATGTAAAAAAATATTATAAGGAAGGCCCGTACTTCAAAGTCACATTCGCTGGTAGTAAACACGGGGCCCTTGACGCGGAACGCTGGCTTGTCGCTTGAATCATTGATATTGATGATCGGCTTGCAGAAAGTCACCTCCTTACGCACCACGCTGACCGCCTTCCCACACACCGCCACATCCATCTTAACATCCAGCCCCATGGTGAAGGGCCTCCGGAGTCTTATTACCTGAAAACCATTCATTATCACAGTTTTATTAGCTTGGCCTGTATGGAATTTTTTAACTATGTTTTACCCACTCCTGGACGGCAATTTTACAAGTAAGGACGTATTATTCTATATTAGTCCTCATGGATGAAGACTCATCTAGATTTTGATTATTAATCGAGGATAGATGTAGGTGTTTGTGGACCACAGCATCCACTTACCAATTACCATCAGGCGAATTGTGTAAGTTACCTCCACACTAGGGTTTTCTTCTGTATCGTGGGGGACAGTTTACATACATAAATTTCACAAGGACAAACATCCAGACCCGGGACAATTATTTGTAGGCCATACAAATACTTGTTCCGTGCGAGATTCGGCCCTTGGCGCTGCAACGCATTGCTAAGACTCTGCGACACGGAGTCGTCATATCGTTACCGTTACCGTTACAACCTGTCAAAATTGCACTGCTAAATGTAGGCCTCCTCAATAGATTGTCTCATATCTGCCATAGTTGCCACGCTTGGCAGGCGGGTAGGCAACCGCAGTTTTTTATTTTTATAGTTGTTATTAGGAAGATGCTGCTGCCCGTCTCCTGGTTCTGGTGGATATGAAAGTAGGGGACTATTCTTACAACGTCACATCACGGTCACTATTATTCTATATAAAAACCATCATATATCTCACCTCTTTTTTCTCAGTGTCGAAGACATTGATCTCGAAGGCGCGGCTCGTGCCTCCGAGCACCCTGTCAAGTATCCCAGAGTCCTCCTTAGCGTAAAACACGACGGAGCTATCTGGCGCGAGCACCACATACTTATTGTTGGGAAAAGCGGTCACTTTTTGCCGGATCAAGACCTTGTTTAAGCCGGTCAACAGTTTAATACCTGAAATGAAGCATAAGTAAAAACTAAAAAAAAAACCTGCCCAAGTTTGTGTCGAGCCACGCACGATGTAGAGGTAGGGGGTTACGTAGTGGCCTGTGACAATACGTGGTCTTTTTTGATAATTAGCATAATAAATGAGTTCGCAATTTGACCGCTATAATGACTAAAAATGCGATCGTAACTGAAGGACTTATTTTCAAATCAGACTTATAGGGAGTGGTATTCAAACAATATTAAAAAAAAACTTATCGATTTTGAAAATAATACAATTTAAATCAAATCGTTCACATAATGATTTCTTATATTTACGCGAACACTGCACATTGAATAAAACTACTTTTACGGATTCTATTGCGTTTAATTAATTATTTTTTTTTATTAATTCCCGACGTTTCGGGTGCTTTACAGCAGTTAGAGGCAAATAATTCTTTACCTTTCCTAGATGTGTTAGTCATTCAAAATCCTAACTACACCATAGGTCACACTGTGTATAGAAAAAAGACCCATACGAACCGATATTTAAACGGTGCATCCCACCATCATCCTTCACAGTTAGCTACCGTGGGCAAATCTTTATTACAGAGAGCACGAGGGATCTGTGACAGCAAACACCTGTCCGCCGAGCTTCATCACGTTATGCAGGTTCTGCACGACAACAAGCTTCGGGTCCCGCGCCTACGTCACAGTGATCGAGTGAAGCCGGACACAGTCGAGCGTGTGCTACCATATGTCAGAGGTGTCACCGACAAGATTGGGTACATCATGAAGCGAGCTTCTATTAGAACACTCTTCTAGCCGCCGAAGAAGATTAGTCAGTTCTTACCATCCGTCAAGTGCAATATTCTTCTACAAGATGCAGGAGTGTACAAGCTTGATTGTGAATGTGGTCTCTCATATATAGGGCAAACAAAGCGATCTATCAAAACCCGCGTAAAAGAACACATAGCTGACGTGAAGTACCAACGTTCCGGGAAGCCTGTAGTTTGTGATCAATGATCATATCCTACGGGCCCCCACCATTACATTAGATTTGATAAACCACAAATTTTCGCGAAAGAACATCGATTCCTGCCAAGGATGATACGTGAGGCTATTGAAACTAAAAAACATCCTAATTTGAATAGAGAGGGAGGTTGGATACTACTACCTATTTGGGATCCTGTAATAAATAAATTTAAAACTAAACCCAAACATAGCACTGCAACTGCAAGACTGCAGTTCATTCTGCATAGATCGGACCAAAAGTAATAATTAAAAAGCTGAAGGTACTCCGGGTTAACTCTGACATCGGGACGTCAATCACCACAGTGCCCCGTGACCATGGGTGCTGTAAACCACCCGAAACGTAGGGAAGTAATAAAAAAATAAGTGATTTGCATAAAACTACTTTTACGTATTCCATCGCGTTTAATTTTACTTATATTTAATTGCCGACTTGAACGAAACGTTGGAAATTAAATAGTTTTATTCAATATGTAGTGTCCGCGTAAATTATATCAATCATTAATACAATTTTTTACTAATAAGTGGCTGAAGATACTTTCTTGGTAATTAAACAAAAAGTGACATTTAATAATTATTATTTATATTGAATCAAAAAGTTTCTGTTTCTGTTTCTTATAACAATATTGTAATAACACGTCAATGAATAAAGATTGGAAATTAAAAAAATAATCGTAAATTGTTCCATCCAAATATAACTGATGTAGGTATATCCCGAATTCTCTGGCATACGTCATTCAAAAGCTTTAACATCTCAGAAACATTCACCGTGAATTAGATCAAACGATTGCCCCTCCGACAGCGGTTAAGATACTGATGTTTTTTAATTTAATTATTTTTCGATTAAATATTTGGACGTGCGCTGAAAAATATTTATCATTGAGATGCCTTTGCCTCATAAACTTGACGCGCGTTTATTTATCTTTAAAAACGTTACATTTCACTTGCTTTTCACATTTCACACATACGTTTTGGACATGATTATAAATATCCTATCGTTTCCTTGAATTTTATTCATGGAGAAAAAGAAAAAGAAGTTCTTTATTTATTTAGGATCACCTATATAGCGCCATCGTGTAGTGCCGGTGCAAGAATATCCACTATCCCACATCGCCCTGTGCGTGTCGTAAGAGGCGACAGAGGGAAACAAACTAGGAGGTGGGCAGCAGCATCGTCCTTGCCAACCCTTCTGCCAAGTGTGGCAACTATGGCAAATATCCACCTTATTAAGCAATCTATGGGGAGGCCTATTTTCAGCAGTGCACTTATGATAGGCTGTGAGACATAGCGTCACGCCTGTAATCTCCGAGAAGGTAGGTAAAGTGAGCTACTCGGACCACGTTAAGCCAAAAAATATGTGTTTAAATCGAAAATTGTGAAAAGGTTGGTAGGTAGCCCATCGCCTATAAAATTACATACGTAATATCTCATTATTCACCTTTTATGATATGCTAATCAAGTAATACAGTTGGTACATTTTTACAAGTCTCGCATATACATGAGGCGTATAAGTCCCAGACCAAAATGGGACTTTTTTTATAGAATAAGAGTGACAAACGAGCACACAGTCCACCTGATGGTAAGTGGATGCTGTGGTCCATAGACACCTACATCTATCTTCGATTAAGAATCAAAATGCAGATGCATTGTCACCCCTGAGGATTAAGATGCCTCGCCTCCAGCAAAATGGGTCGCTGGCTCTCTACTCTAACCATAGGAAACACAGCACCATTAAACTGCAATTTCACGCTGGTATTCTGTGAGAGTATAATCCTACCCCGGTCGAGCCGATCCATTCGTGCTATAACCATAATATAGCTGCAGCGTGTGGTTCTACCACGTAATTGTTACTATTGGTCGTAATACGACCGTATTTCATAAATTTTTATTAAGTTATTAAATTAATTTATAAAAAAATTATTTACATTCACGTATATATTCTCAAGTTTTTATGGCACCTGCTTAAGTTTCTCTGTTTAGCCCGTGGTTGACTGGTAGAGAATGCCTAAAGGCATTAAGTCCGCCAATTGTACATCTTAAGTGCAATAAAGATTTTTAAATAAAAAAATAAATAAAATTAAGCAAGGTGTATTTAACTTTCAACTACACATTAATATATAAAACAGATATCTAATATACAAAATAAGTAAACGTTGTTTTGCCTTAACATAAACTTCACACGCTATTGGAAAAGATACATTTTAAATCACACAATTCTAAGCTCATGTAGTCAATCCATAAGTAATAATTGTTTATTGGCAACATTTTAAAATTCTTTGGCGACTTTGATCTTTGGCGAATCTCTACTGTGTGAGAATGTTTTACCACAGACTATTAAATGTTGACATTGGCCTTAGAGTAGTAATATACTCATATACATAGTAAGTACTTAGTCTAAGATATTGGTAATTTGAACGTCAACAAAAGACAAAATTTGTCCAAGCATTAATTATGTGTTTGATATTGGCAGTATAAACGTAACAATTATTGTTTTATTTTATTTTATTTTATTTTATTTTATGTATTTTTAAGTCATTTTACATGTAAATTTTAGCTTTCTGCATTCCTTCTCACACCCATCCGTACTTTCGTTGTGTTTTCGCTTCAAAAACCTAACTTCTAAACCACACTTATATGTCTACCATACATGAATGAATAAATTAGATTTAAGAAACTTACCTAAAGGAATTTCTTCTGTGGACATTTCCTCGCCGTTCTTGCAGCTCGATGCGTTCCTCAAATTATTTGTCTTCGCTAAACCTTACACTTAAACCGTTCAGAAATGTCACAAAATATAAATTACTTTTTGGATTATGCACTTGTCATAGCACTTACATTTAAATTTAAATAAATTTAAATCAATTTAAAAACAAATTCACCCTATTGACACTAGTCTTCATATTATTTTATTGGTATTCGCATATGTATGTGGGCCACAGACAAATGAATTGACACATACTGTGTCTCAATTCAGTTGTCAGTGGCTATTGCTAAACACGGACGAGGTTTTTCTTGCGGAGGCAGCTTGTAGTGCTTTTATAATCGTATACATGTATATACTTGCATGTATATATAATTGAAACATGCAACTCCACGAAGACGATACATATACGTCCTTTTTTATAGGGTATTAAGGGTGACAAACGAGCACACAGTCCCACTGATGGTAAGTGGATTTTATGGCTCATAGACATCTTCATCTTATCTCGATTAAGAATTGCCGATGTGATTTGTGTACTAAATAATTATGTTAGTTCGTATTTTTGCCATTTAAAGCGAGATAACGTTACTGCCGTACGAGATCAGTTTTTGTATGACATTGTTCTCAATGGCCGTACGAGTGGTACTAACTTTCAAGTATATGTATTAAAAAAAAAGTTACAAGTTACAGCCTATATACGTCCCACTGCTAGGCACAGGCCTCCTCTCATTTCTAAGAGGGTTTTAGGGCAATGAAATGTTCAACGCATTGCCCCAGTGCGTGTTGGCGAACTTCACATATTTACGAAATATTTTTTTTCTTATTTCTCAGACATACAGGTTTCCTCACGATGTTATCCTTCACCGCCGAGCACGTGGTAAATCAGCACTTAAAATTGCAACTAACAATTTCATTAGTGTCGGCGGGGATCGAACCCGGGTTGCTCGCGTATTGTGAACAATCTTCGCAATTTTAGGATATTCCTCTAGAGTGGTGCAACATTACCTGCGGCAACTGTTACCGGGCAATTATTGCTTAAAAAATTGCTCGTGTAACTCCACCTTTAAGCCGATATTACACGGATCAATTTCGGTTCAATACTGATTCCAATTTCATTGCTTCAATGGCATTGAGACATCTAAATAAATTTCAATGCGATTGCACCATCTCATTGAAAGTTTAAATTCATCGAACGCTTTCAATGTAATGATAGCAATATTGTCATTGTTCAATGCTATTGAAACGTGTATATATGAAGATTGAACGGTGACTCATTCAGAGCACCGCACGACACCTATTTAGCGTGCGCACATGGATTTTCGAAAATTATTTTCAAGTGGCGTGAAAATGGATTTTAAGGAGTTTATTATTATATTTACTTTTTGTCATTCGCAATTGGTTCAAATAAGAATTTGGATCTTCTTCGATCAATTCTACTAATAAGGTGCTTGAAGCTCCTTTAATTATCCTTCACGAAATCCACGGCCGCACCCACCAACGCCGCGATTTTCTTTCTTTTTATTATTTAACTCATTTACAGATTAACGAAATTTCCGCACATACGATTTGGCGCGACATATAATTGCGCTGTGAACATTGAATGTCATTTAAATAATTTACGTGTATATTGGTAAACCCGCTCAATGTGCAATGTTCAATGCTTTTCAATGGAATTGTTTCAATTTGGTTGATCCGTGTAATATCAGCTTTAACGAAAGTCACCTATCGTAGGTATACAATGTGGTGCGTTGCTTGGTAACCAATAAATTCGTAGAAGAGCCGTCAATATTTACGCACTTTTAATGGATCAAACGAAGGATCAAATGACATGTGTTGAAATAACCCTACAAAACTCAGTTGTTTTATTAACCTTTTTATTAGCTTGACCTGTATGTATGCACGAATGTAATATAATTTTAATATGCAGTTTTCACTAACTTCGATACGTCTGATGATGATAACCGATGATGATTATGACCTAGTATTTCTTATCACAACTTGTTCAATTTGTGTTGTTTAAGTTTTTTCGTAATATATCTTTAGAAAAGTCGTGCCAGTAATTCTAATTTTTTATAGTAAAAACAACGCTAGGGGGCTGCTGCATTATTCACGAAAAAAAAACACTGGAAGAATTTGCGTGAATTTGGTATTTATGACGTGATAGAGCCACGGTTCAGCGCACGAGTGTATGGCTAGCACAGGTGCACTCTCTATTCCCTCACTATCAAAATCCGATGGGGCAGCAATCGGACACGGCCTAGTCTAGCTCTATCTAATAACAATAATAAAAAGAATCCTCCAGACCGAACTGCGGCCAGTCTCAATGGAGACTAGCCATTTCAGCAGAACAGGATTATAGTACACAAGCGTGTACTCACGCAGACTCTGTTCTCTTACTCTTATAGTTCAATGAGACGGCAGACACGACATGAGAGAAATCAAGCGCAGTTCCGATAGCTTTAAATGTTTTCTAAGTCACGGGAGTGAAATACCTCCAACTCCTGATTTCGGGTTGCTACTGACAATTTCGTGACAGAAAAAACCAATAACTGATTTTGGTTAGACCCGGGATTGAGCCAGCATTCTTTCTATAAACGTACTAAAACGTAAGTTCAAACTTTGAACGATGGAAAATTGAAAAATAAAAGATGGAAAATTAAAAAGTCCTAACAAATAACCTGATTTCGATAGAAAAGCCGAAACAACTTAATTGATAAACGTGAAAAAAAAAATTGGTTTTGTTCACTCGTGTGATCAATTCCATCCCAGATAACACCGGTCCCACGCAAAACCATATTGTATTTTGTTGAAGTATCAAAAAACCATAATATTTTCAAAACCCTACCGCAATCATAACTAAAGTCCAAATCCTGACATATGTATATTTATATATTTATCCATTAACAGTGGTAGAGCCACGCGGCCGCTTTTGCTGTCGCACGGATGGGCCGGCTCAAACCGGGGTGGTACCACGACCTCACAGAATACCAGCGTGAAGTAGACGTTTACCTCTGCGTTTCGCTTGGTGAGTGCAGGTGGCCGGAGGCCCTTTTTACTGGAAATGAGGTATTCCATCCTAGTCCTCACGGGTGAAAACGCATCTGCATTTTGATTTGTAATAGAGGATAGAGGTAGATGTCTATAGGCCGCAGCAAAACCTTACCATCAGGTGGACTGTGTGCTCGTTTGTCACCCTTATCCTATAAAAAAATGGTACAAGTCACGGCACATAAGTCTAGCGGTGAACGAAACGTGGAGGGGACGCGCAAGAATTGAATTGCACGAATGCGACTGGAGAGCCAATAAGCGCGTGCGAACGATACGCACGAGCCAATCAGCGCGATTTATGCGCAATAACGGTCACTGCTAGACTTTCGTGCCGCTACTTATATCTCTAAATCGAAGGGGCTCTACATAAACATCTCTACCTTGGCTACACTTAGAAAGTCAAATTCCTAAGATATTTTAATAGTATACCAAAGTGAAATACTACTACTGGGCACAATCCTCCACTTATTTCTGAAGGGATTTTAGTTCAAGGTAATGGTTGCGCTGCACCAATACGTGTTGGCGGACTTCACATTTTTTTTTTATATAGAATAGGGTGACAAACGAGGATACAGTCCACCTGATGGTAAGTGGTTGCTGAGGCCCATAGACATTTACATCTCTCCTCGCTTGCGAATCAAAATGCAGATGCGTTGTCAGCTTTGAGAACTAAGATGGAATGCCTATTTTTCTTTAAAAAGGCTCTCTGGTTCTCTACACTCACCATACAAAACACAGCAGCATTAAGCTGCTATTTTACGCTGGTTATCTGTGAGACCGTGGTCCTTACCCGGTCGAGCCGACCTATTCGTGCTACAACTATACTATAAATATAGCTGCAGCTTGGCTCTACCACGTAAGTGCCTTCCAAATATTTTTACCTGTAAGTTTCCTCACGAAGTTTCCTCCGGCTTCATGAACGTGGTAAATCATCATTTCAAACTGCAATTACCCATAGCATAATACGTTATATGCTTGATGTATAAAATATTAATATTAATCTTCTAAGTTTCTATATATAAAAATCAATTGATGTCCGTTAGTCTCGCAAAAACTTGAAAATGGCTGAACAGATTTTGGGATGAGTCCCAAAGTTCCAGAGTTCGGGAGGGGTCCCTGGATAATCTAAACGATTGACAATTGGACCCGGTAGATGTTGTTGTCGAAATATAAATTGCAATAGAATAATTTATTAAATATAGATCACATGTAATTATTATTCAAAGTTCTTCAAAGGATCACTAGTCTTATAATATAAAAATGAATCGCTGAATGTGTTGCTAAGCGCAAATCTTGAGAGCAGCATACGTGGTAGAGCCACACTGCAGCTGTATTATGTTTTTTTTTCTCCCCACAAAGATTAACACCTTTGTGGTAATAGGCAATGTTGTTGTGTTGCCGTTCTGCTATTTGATACAGAAGCTGTATTATGGTTGTAGCACGAATGGGTCGGCTCGGTCGAGGTAGGATTACGCTCTCACAGAATACCAACGTAAAATAGCGGGTCGGGTCACAACAAGTCATTAAGTTTTTCTGTCAAGAGGTTCTCAGTTGCAGCCCGGCGTTAGAAAGTTGACGGTGTCTCAACCCCGTGCCTCGGAAAGCACCTAAAGCCGTTGGTCCTGCGCCTGATCTCTCTCCGGTCGTGTCGGATAACCGTCCCATCGCACTATGAAAGTAAAGAAATAGAGAGTTTACTTGTACTTCCGCTTACAATCGGGCACTGTAGTCTTGTCCTGAACAGATGGGCTTGTCTCCGTTAAGAATGAAATTTGGTTTGGAGGACATTATTATGAAAAACTAAAAGATAAAAATAAGTATCCTATTTTTTTACTCAATATAGATTACAAGAAATTCTTATTAAACGTAATTTTTATACTTTTATCAATGGTTCGGAAAAACTTCAATCCTGAGGAGAACCAGCAAGAAACTCGGAGAGACATTTCTTTCAATATATAATTTTAAAAGCCACCATCTCATTGATTAATTTA